GCAAGTTGGTGCCTTGAAGAGGAGAAAATAAAACGCTATGAACATTCCTGAGGAAATTTAACTTTCTAAATCCATCATGATGGAAAACAAATGTTTAAATACGACGAGAGCGCACAATAATGCATGCACCCAAAACGTCTAACCATCATCCCATCATGCAACATAAGTGTCGACACGTAATCATTCGACCTCATCGCCTGACTAAATCTACGTTTAATAACGCATAGCAGTCCAAAATAGTTTGATTCTACAATCGATAGTAACTATAAATCGTACTGAAAAACGACTTATCAGTCAATTATATCCACTTTATCCCCTTCGCTCCACGGAGGTCCGTGTTTAAATGTGTGCGTCTACTAGACAAAGGATACCTTTTTAGTAAGGTCAAGTCTTGAGCTAAATCCGCCATGATAATTGTGGTTTTAGTCCAAAATTGCGCAACATGGAAAGGGTTCTTGACAGGAGCAACAACAAAATTTGATATACTTGATAATTTAATTTGCTATGTAAAATAAGATACTACGTGTAAGTCACGAAAAAACCTTTTGACCTCTGTCTGAATATATTCGAATTCCTCGGACGTCAGTCACGAGATTGCAATATCGTTTGTTCCTGAATACAAGCAAGCAGCTTTCGCTTCATCCGATCCCGCATCTCTTTGGGCGGTGTTTTATGTTGTGTATTCAAGTTGTTGACTCGTTGCCCCGACTCAAAGATTGTTTGTTTTCCGAATGACTCCGGACTCCAATTTGTAGAAGTGAGTAATTCATCACATTCCCTTTTGTTGCCAGTTACTTGCACCAAACAGATCAGTGACATGCGGAGTATGTAGCCAACACATTGTAAGTTTTGTTAGGAGATGTGCCTAAGCATCAACTACTTGATCGTTGAAAAGAAATGTACATCCCGAGCGGAAAACAAAAATAATCGTAAACATTTCGTTTGAAATAGCTAAAGAATTCAACCGCTTGATCCTGAAGGGGTGTGTGTGTGTGTGGAGGGGGAGGTATTTCTTAGAATGACTTAGTTGGGGAGGCTCCGCCCAATGGACGGACCTTTTCCAGGCTTTAGATTCTTAAAAGGGTTACAAATTCTGTCGGTTTAAGGGGTGTTTTTTTTTCGTGTGGAAAGTGTACGGAAAGGAAACCTATATTATAGTTGATAAAATGACGGGAGTCTTTCCATCTTGAACTTCATCGAATACCCCCTCCCCCGTTTTTAAACCACCGAGAGTAGCTAGTCCCCAGCGGCATTGCATCCTTACCACTTTTTTTTCCTCAAACATTTAACATTGTCAACCCAGCCAGACCCTGTGGAAGTTCTTCTACACAAGAAGAGAATACTCGTTACTAGTGTTTCACTTCAACAAAGGCGAGAGAGGTGAGTTATCTCTTCGTTTCATTTCTTCGTTTTATTTGGATCACTTCTTTGATGAGTCAATGCCGTTCGAAATGAGAAATTTCGTAGTACCGCTAGACAAGATCTCGGAGTGGAATTTACCTCTACAGAACGTCAACTTTGTTAATCACAACTCCCCTCGCTGTTCGCCAAAATTTAGCTATTGCTAACACTGCATCTTTACCAAATTTCTTTCTAACGCTAATACACTTTCGTTTCAGTCTTTCACTGGAAAAGCCGTTGAAAACAAGAGGGGAAGTTCACTTCGATTAAGACAAGAAAAGGTGAGATATCTCTGCGTTTTTGTAAGACCCCGAACAAATTTTCATGTTTGTCGGATAATACTATAAAAAATACTGTCAGAAATTAAAAGCATTTGAAAGAGGAACAAAGCAACGGTACGCTTGAAAGAGGTGGAAGGAATTCTCAATCAGCCGAGCTTTTACGCCCCAAAGCTCAGCTTGAAATTCTACTCCGACAGGCGGAAACAGGATGCAATCATTTGTTTACTCGATCTGTCAATACCATGCCTTGACCGACGCAACATTTTATTAGAGCTTTTGCGACTCCTTTAATTAACGGACAAAAATGACTCGAATGGTTGTATCTATCAGCTATTGNAATCACAAACCGCTGACAGCTATCATTCCTTAGGAGTTACTCAACATTCACTTGGAGACTTTGTCTCAGCCCTTGAGTCAAAGAAGCGTGCACTGGATATCCGGTTAAAAGCTCTGGGTGAAGACCATTCACAAACCGCTGACAGCTATCACTCGTTAGGAGTTACTCAACATTCACTCGGAGATCTAGTCTCGGCTCTTCTCTCAGCTAAACGTGCACTCGATATCAGAATAAAGGTCTTTGGCGAGGAACATTCAGAAACTGCTGGAAGTCGATTTATGGTGAAGGATATAGAAAACTCTCTCTCAAGAAACCGATGCAGTTGCAGTTGAATATTTATATATCCCTGCGCAGGTTTAGAGATACGGCGCTTGTGACTTTTCCGAGGACAATAGTTTAATAATTGTCTTACGAGGCAGCATGACCATCGTATAAAAGTTTAAAACTAATTGTCTTAGAAATAAAAAGAAAAACAAAGGATTCTTTTCGCCATTTTTGCCGTTTTGCATACGTAAATAGTACAGCGAAATTACAAACCTAAAACAATAGATGTATTATAAACTCGTTATGATATAAATTCTTTTACTACTTTTTCTTCTTAGCGCAGTCAATATTTGATAAATTTTCCTTTTGTAACTTCAAAAGGTTTGTTTTGCGAATAGTTGTTTATATCCTTCGCGTGTCCGATTGTAACTGCCAGTTTTGGAAATATAAAGTAATGAAATAAGTTTGTCAGTATGTTTAGAGCTGCTATCGTTGTTTTCATCTTCGTAATATCCATCAATCTGTTATTTTCGCACGGAATTGTGATGAGGTCATAACGCAAGAAGCGAATCTTTCACATAATTACACGCCTGAAACTCGCATTGAATGATTGATACTAAAGTGGTTGTTATGTGAGGGTTTTCTCTTTTGGAAAGAGTTTCTAAAGTGACGCAATTTATCTGTTAAGCTACTTCGATAAAGGTCTTACCAACGACTGAAGTTAACAAAGTTTACAAATATATTTAACGAAACATTAAATATGCGCACGAAGATAAAGTTTCCGC